TGACTATGTCTAAGGGTTAATCTAGAACATTAGATATGATGAAAAAGAACAGTTTCAGCATGAAACATCTTAAACTTATCTTGTATTTTGTGAATCAAGTGCCCAAACACTTTCAGGCACGGTGAAACGATGAAAACAAGCCCTTAAACACAGCACTGCCGCTCGGTAACTGGAATCGCACTCATAAAGTGCTCCGCGCGCCGCACTTCCCAGGCTTGTCACATCTTTATTAGTGCTTTAATCGAAGTGAAATTTTACAGGAGTCTTCTCTACAGTATGTACTATCGATCTACCTCTTAAAATCTAACTTTTTCCAAACTTCACTTTTTCGATTTATTGCCGCTTAAACCGGCTATATTCGGACCATAGTGCGTCGTGAGACCCGCGGAAGCTGGTTTTCTGACGGATCGCGGCCGCCTCTGAGGTCGGTCGCGGTCGCGAGGATAATGATCAGTGGCGTGGCTTTTCGATACATCGATTGATCTCCCATTTAAACTCGTTGAAAAGGATCGATAAACATGGTCTTCGCAGAGAACGCCGTAATAATCGATTCTTCACCATAGCCTCAAATGGAGAAATATCGATAATAGATCATTCACGCCTCGCCACTGATGATCACGGGGCCTCAACACGTTTCTCGTCTGCTCCGACGACGCGCCGATGACGTTGACGTCAATTACCGTCGCATCTCCGACGTTGCCACATCGCCTCGCGAACGTCTCCCGGCGACGGGGCTCGCCGTGCCCCGAATTCACCCTCGCGACTATCGAGTATTTTGAATGGAGAATATAGGAGTGTCTGCAATGTTTTGGAGTTCATGTTTGAGATGAAACTACTGAGTGAACTGAGCATGAGAATGTCGTTGGTTTCTAAATCAAACAATTATTAGATGAGATATTACCAAATTACTAGTGGCGTGGCGTGTTTTGCGATGTATCGATTGATCTGCCATTTAAACCCATGGAAAAGTATCGATTAATAGGGCGTTCGCAATGAGCATGAGCACCTTATCGATTGATTCTTTACCATACCTTCAAATGGGGATTTATCGATAATCGACCATTCACGCTTGCCACTGCAAATTACCTCATCTGCTAAAATACATGTGTTTAAATGGAATTCATGACGGCTCAAGACGGCAGAGTTTCTCACTTTTAAATTTATTTTTCTACGATTTTCCGTATCGGACAAAAATCTTGAAAAATACTGCAAACGCAGCTCAACAAGCACTGTCGGATGCAGAAAAAAAAGTTTTTGGTCCAACTTCTAGATTGATGCTGATTTTTCTTCGTTTGTTGCAGATTCCACAGATGGCGAATCTGCTAGTGGGAGCAAAGAGTTTCTCGCCGAAAAGAAGATGTCAAAACCCAAGATTGAAGTACCCACAACGAACTATACGGTAAGTTAACCGTTATGGCAATCACCGGGGAATCGCCTTTTTTTATCATGATTAGAAATATCGTATCGATCATTCGGGCTATACCTTCTGCAATTAGGAACTAAAATTTCTAGCTCAGTTCGAAAATAACGTATGCAGCAGTAGTTTCTCTATGCAAATAAGTGTTTTTCAGATGAGCCATAAATCTTAGTTCCTAATTGCAAAATGTAGTCCATTTATCACAACGATTCCTCTTTTTCTATCATGATTAGAAATATCGTATCGATCATTTTGGATACATTCTGAAATTCGGAACTACAATTTCTTGCTCAGTTTAGAAGTAACGTATGTAGCATTAGTTTCCCTATGCACGTAAGTGTTTTTCAGATGAGCCATAAATCTTAGTTCCTAATTGCAAAATGTAGTCCATTTATTACAACGATTTGTTTTTAAAAGCGAGCGCCCCACGTGAAGAATCGTCGTCAGCCGAGAGATTTCTGCTCCTCTGACCATATTTGGTAATCTGGTCAAACTCTATGGGAACGATGGTTACGAATATGATGCGCTCAAGTTGGCAATCGTGGGCATTGCCCTTTTGTATGTAAATAAATCGATTTATGTAGATTTGATAGATGAGTCAAACAGCCTCAATAACTTTTGATTAATTGGTTTTTGAGCCGTTGGATAAGGAAGTGTGCACGGTTTAAGAAAAGATAACTGAAAACTTGGAGAAGATTATCATTTGAAATTGAAGGGGGGAAAAAAATAAAAATAATTCGCTTTAAACAATAATTTTTTTTCCATTTAATACAGTTCTTCGATCAAATGAGTCAAGAAATGTATTTCGCTCTCAATGAGATAAATGGATGTATTCCTGCCAAACGGAACTATGTGCATTAAGATATAAGCCCCGACACCCATAAGAATATATGCATAACAGAGCTCACGTCATAATGCACATAGTCCCGTTTGGCAGAAATACGTCCAAATACGATTCGTCATGACAAGAAAACCATTCCCTTGACACTTTCTCAATTCACACAAGGAAAAACTTATTTCGTCAAGACAAACGCCCTAAACTGCCAAGAATAATTTTAGTCCTGACGTTGAAAAACTCGCCATTAATGCAGTTTTCTAGCCATGGTTTCATTTGATAGCAGAAACGATGAGCATTAAAAAAAGATCGATCAAAAAGACCGCCTGCATAAAAAGTGAGAAGGCATATTTTTGAAGCCTGCGATTCACTGTCCTCGTTTTCGCAGTTCACTTTCCCGGGAAACCCGACGAGAGTCGGGGAAATATTTTCCTCCGTTCTGCGGACGCCCTGTTCCTACACTTGTATGCACGAGCATGTCTTCGGCATGAAACGCGCGTTCTCGTCCGTACATCTGCTCACTAAGCAAAAACCACGAATTTCCGTCGGTTTAACATTGGAGTTACGACGTTCTTGCCTTTACCAGGGCAGATCTCTGCGTCACCCCGCAGTGTCACTTCTGGTGCGCAGCGCACTCATCATCGGCAGTCGGTAGCCGCCAAGTTTTCCCGCGAGTTTCCCCCGACTGTATGCTCCCCCCTGCCCCCCA